AGAGAGAAAGAAAGAAAGAAAGAAAGAAAGAAAGAAAGAAAGAAAGAAAGAAAGAAAGAAAGAAAGAAAGAAAGAAAGAAGGAGGGAAAGAAATTAACAGCAACAAATTTTTTAATGAACCTGAATCTCAGCAAACACAAAGGTCTAACAGCTTCTTCAAGATCTGGGCTAGGTAATTCATTGAAGAAGTAGAAAACCAAGCTCAGGGAGGCTTGGTTGAAACAGGACACCATAAATGTGTAGCAGGTCAAGTGAGCATAATTTTGCATCACCTCTAGTATGTCTAATAGCAAAGAAAGCAGGCTAATGAGACAAAATGTATTTTAAAATCCTCCTAAAAAGCACTGAATATTCAATAAGTGTAATTTCTATTAAAAGAAACTAGAATAAACCATTCCTTAGGCTCATTTTTCCCCAAATATGTCACAGGTATAAATAATGCTGATTTCTTTCAGAACCTTCAGGGTTGCAAAGGACATTTTAAAACACAGAGGAGAGTCCAACCACTGTTTTCATCTAAGACAAACAAGTAAGAGAGGCTATAAGCATAAATATTCACCTGGAAAAGAAATGTTAATACCTGGCACTGAAGGTTGAGTATGAGAGAACCTGTAAGAGTCTACATATATTAGGTCAGGGTGGGGGGAAGATATTCAGGAAGACCACTTGGTAAAGCTGAGACAAAAGTAAGATTTAGAGGATTATATTTAGGGTGACTATGCAAGATGGCAGTGGGAGCGTAAACACACACGTGGAATATTACATAGGAATGAATGTCTTTGTGAGCTTGTTTATCAATTGCCAATGATGCCTCAACTTAGAATTATAGAAACTGAGTCAGCAGGTGGAATGGAGGTTAAGGCACTAGGTCCCACATAACTGACTTCATGGTTCAAGTGTCGATCCAGTAGCTTGAAAAATTACATAGGGCACATGTACACGCATGCCCAAAATTCCAAGAGAAAAATGGAGAAGGGGTTGTAGTGTGGCTATCCCCCCGGAGGGGTGATTTCTCACACATACCTCCCCCTATTCTGTCTCTGGTGAGCACACATGCTTTATAGCAAAACTGAAAAAAAAAAAAAAAAAAAAAAAAAAAAACCACACATTCTTTATACAAAAAATAAAAAAAAAAAAAAAAAAAAAAGAAAGAAAAAAGAAAAAAATTATAGAAACTCATGTTAGGAAAACAACCTGTGGGTTATATAGACTGTCTACATTTTCAACATGTTTTCTAAAAGTATTATAAGAAAGTAACTTTAAAATTAACTGCTTAAATAGAGAATTAAAAGGGAACCATCTTTGCAGTCATTTCAGTTTCTTAACAAATTATTTTAGGAATAATTACCTACCTATTTTGACTCTCCCCCTCTCAGGACCTTCTCCCATTACTAGGATATTTGCTGGTTTCTAGAAATAAAAATAGAGCATTCATATTACTATATTTATTCTTTTGACATGCTCTAAAAAGGAATTAAGTTCTTATAAAAATATCTTCTCTGTAGTTTCATAAAAAACATATATCAAATATTAAGTACCCTTTACACCATTAAAGCATTTGACATTCTTAAAGTTAGCACTAACTTTATATAAACATCTTTGCCATAGACACACACCTTATTTTCAAAATCATACAAATAATTACAAAGTAATTAAAGCTATCATTCTATTCACCCATAGAAAAACTAATAATTTTAAAACCTGTGCAAATCATAAACTTACTGCCCACAACAAAGAATGTTTGTGGTTGAAATTTCATATAAAATTTCAAATCATGACATAATTGCCTTAATTTAAATAAATCAAGGAATTTTCTTGCTAAATATTTCTAAACTACTGTAGGAAAACATGATCAACATTCAACAGTCCATTAAAACTCATGTCAGCTATAGTACATGCAAAAGTGAGAAATTCTAAATATAATTTCGAGATGTAGGAAAATAAAAACCAAGGCTAATTTAAAAGCTATATATTTTTTAAAGTAGGCTGCAAATTTATCTACCATCTTTTAAGTCATCCTTAGGTGTAGACATCTGGAAACAGAAATGTGCAGGTAGGCTTTTTGCGGGGTGTGGACAAAAAAATCTTCCTTGGTAAACTCTTTGGAGAAAAAAAAAATTTATGTGTTTTTAACACACTGAATTCATTTATTCAATCAAGTTGAAAAAGGAAAGTGATTAACTAGAGATTTCACTGTTAAGGGAAATGCTCACTGGACATTAGGGGAGAGATGAGCTCTATGAGCCAGATCCTGAAAGACACAGAGGTAGGAGCATGGTAGAGAAAAGGAAGAACAGGCCACTGAAGGAGGCAGCTACGCACAGGTGAGCTGAGAACACCATGATTGTGTCTGGACAGAAATGAGAGGACTCAAACGTTGGGGGAAGTAGAATGAACCCAGACTGGACAGTCTCAAATGCCAGCTGAAACCATCTTACCCTTATACTACATGCAGTAAAATTACAGGAGAGGGGACAGGTAACAGAACTGGACATGAGGTGGATTTCAAAGTTATTGCCATTAGAATGGAATAACTAAAAGCATTTCATTGTAGCAGAAAGAGAAAAATGGCATCAGACAAAACCAGACCTTCAAAGGGGTTGGACAGTGGTACGGTGGTAAAACATAACATCCTGCAAGGCTGACCAACGTAGGAAGGTCACTGGTTCAAGCCAGGAGACATCCCTGGGTACAGCAGGCATGCCTGAACCTATAGTCAGACTAGTTGAAACCGGAGGTGAATCACAATGTCAAGACTCTGTCAAGGTTATAGTCTGTCTGTCTCACTCTGTCTCTCTCACTCATGGAATAAATAAACTTGAAAAAAATTTCAAGTCTGACAACTATTTAATAGATCTATTATGTATAAAATGTACTGCAAACTTTGAGGAAAGAAAGAAAAAAATATGGAGATATTGATCTCAAAGCACTTAAATCTGTTTGGTCGTAGAAAAACTTGTATTTATTTATGCAAAAATGTGTCATGACTTTGTTCCAATGACCCAATAGTACAAGAAGACACTACACATAGTAACCATAAAACCTGAAAGTAAAAGGATGTTAAAAGATGTATCAGCGGACCAGCAAATGGAGCAATGGTTACACCACTGGACTCCCACGTAGTTGACCGCAGTTCAAGTCCTGAACCCAGTGGCTTAAAACTAATGCTAGGCATGTGTGCATGCATGCCCAAAATCCCAAAAGGAGAATGGAAGAGAATGGAGGAGAAGGGACTGCAGTGGCCATCCCCTAAGGGAGGTGATTTCTTGCCTTCCCTCTCTCTGTTTCTCTTTGTCACTCTCCGGCTAGTGCATGTACCCTATTGCAAAAAAACAAATAAACCAAAGATGTACCAGAAAAACTGCTACAAGAACCTGGGTTGGGAGCAGCAGATGGTGTAATGGTTACGTGTCTGGACTCCCACATAGTCTACTGCGGTTGACTTGGACCTGGTGGCTTAAAACTCAGCTGGGTGCATGTACGTGCATGCCCAAGAGCCTGAGAGGGGAATGGAGGAGAAGGGATCAAGATGTGCCATCCTCCCTGGGGGGTGATTTCTCACTTTCTGTTTCTCTGTCTCTCTAGCAAGTGCACATGCCCTATGGTAAAAATCTCTTTAAAATAAAAAAAGAAGAAACCTGGGTCAATGGTTGTAATGTCAGACAAAGTAAACTTTAAGACAAAGGCATCATTAGGACCAGAGAGGATCACTGTATAACAATATAAAGTTTAGTTTATTAGGAAGAAGCCACAATCCTAAACTTGATATAAACTTTATATATTTTGATATAAGGCAAAAATTAATTAATAAAAAATAAAAATCGGGAAAAAAAGATCAACGGTAACATACTTTTCTCAATTATTGATGTCATGCAGACAATAGATTAGCAAAATACAGGCTACCCAATTAACAATTAACAGATGGCATAATGGTTACTTTGCTGGATTCCCACATAGTTGATCACAGTTCAAGTACCAGACCTGGTGGCTTAAAACTCAAGTCACACATGTGCATGTGTGCCCAAGAACCCAAGAGAGAATGGAGGAAAAGGGATTGCGGTGTGGCTATCTCCCTGGGGGGTGATTTCTCGATTTCTGTCTGTCCCTCCAGAGAGTGTACATGCCTGATAGTAAAACTCTCACTCTAAAAGACAAATAAAATAAAAATTTAAAAAAATCAGGAACCAGCAGTTAGCGTAATGGCTATGTCGCTGGACTCCCACATAGTCGACCGCAGTTCACATCCCAGACCCGGGGGCTTGGAACTCACGCCGGGCGCGTGTGCGTGCGTGTCCAAGGTCCCGAGAGGAGAACGGAGGAGAAGGGATTGCGGCGTGACCATCCCCCCTGGGGGGTGATTTCTCTCTTTCTGTCTCTATGTCTCTCTCTGTCTGTCTGGTGAGCGCACGTGCCCTATAGCGAAAACCTCTCCAAAAAAAATTAAAAAAAATATATATATATATATTACTACTAAGAAAACACTAACCTCAGATGATCTTAGACCCAAGTTCTCCAAATTTTCTTTTCTGTTTCCTTTTTTTTCTTTTTATTTTCTATAGGGCACATGCACTTACCAGAGACAGACAGAAAGAAAGAGAGGGAGAAAATGAGAAAGCATCCCCCAAGGGGAATGACCACACTGCAATCCCTTCACCTCTCAGAATTTTGGGCACATGCACATGCTCCCAGCATGTTTTCAGAGGTGGATTTTTTTGGTTCTGGGAAGGGTTTTTTGGCTGTAGGGCGTGTACGCTCACCAGAGAGAGACAGAGACAGTGAGGGGGAAGTGAGAAATCACTTCTCATGGGGAATGGCCATGCTGCAATGCTATCTCCTCCATTCTCCTTCCAGGATTTTGAACATGTACACACATGAACTCAGAGTAATTTTTCAAGCCATGGGGTCTGGGACTCTAATTATAGTCAGCCAAGTGGAAGTCCAGTGACATAACTGCTACGCCATCAGCTGGCCCCAGACCAGCAGCTATTTTTAAAGAAGCCCAGCTGTGACTCAAACCAGGTAGTCAGGGAATGCTCCAAACCTATTCTAGAAAGTCAGTATAATCTTGACAGGCAATGAATAAAAAAAATGTTCAGGCTGGGACCAGCAGGTCACATGTTGGTTAGGGTGCTAGACTCCCACATGGCCAACTGCAGTTTGGGCCCTAGACTTGGTGGCTTGCTTTCTCACTTTCCCTCTCTTTCTCTCTCTGTCTGGTCAAATTTTTAAAAATACAATAATAATGATGATGAATAAAATTAAATAATGAAAAAAATTTTTCTAGGCTAATCTCATTCACAAGTATAGATGCAAAGATGGGGCCAGTAGTTATAATGGCTATGTTGCTGGACTCCCATGTAGTCGACCACGGTTCGCATCCCAAACCCAGTGGCTTAAACTCATGCCGGGCGCATGTGCATGCATGCTCAAGATCCCGAGAGGAGAATGGAAGAGAAGAATAGGGCATGTGGCATGGCCATGCCCCCTGGGGGTGATTTCTCGCTTTCTGTCTCTCTGTCTCTCTCTGTCTTTCTGGTGAGCACACAACCCTATAGCGAAAACCTCTCCAAAAAAAATTAATAAATAAAATAAAATAGATGTAAAGACATTAAACAAAATAACAGTTAATCAAATCCAGGAACAGAATGCCAGAATAGCTGAACATGAGAAAATTCTATTAATATATGTCTATAATATTAACAGATTAAAGAAGATAATGACACAATTATCTAGAAAGGTCTTGAAAAAGCAGTTGAATTTAACATCCATTCATAATCAAAATTCTTAGTAAAATAGACTACAAAAAATCCTCCTTACGCCTCATAATGGGTATATATCAAAAATGAAGAAGGAAACATTAGAAATATCCCATTTAATCTCAGCAATTATGCAAGAAAGCCCATTAGCACCACTTCTAAAATCAACACTATACTATGAATACAGTACTATAAAACAATAACCAAAGAGCTAGAAAATACAATTTTTCACAGGCAACAATAGAATTATCATTTTGGAAACTGTCCCTCCAAAATTCATGTGTTAAAATATGGCCATATTATGGGGACTAGCAGATGGTGTAAGTGTTATGTTGCTGGACTTCCACATAGTCGACCATGGTTTAAGTCCCAGACCTGGCAACATAAAACTCACACCAGGCGCATGTGTGTGCAGGCCCAAAATCCCAAGAAGAGAATGGAGGAGAAGAGACTGCAGTGTGGCCATCCCTCCTGGTGCCACTTTCTGTCTCTCTGTCTCTCTCTGTCTCTGCAGCAAGCACATGTGCCCTATAGCAAAAAATCTCTCTCTTAAAAAAAAAAAAAAGTGGCTGGAGCTGGCAGGTGGCCTGGTGGTTAAGGGCGCTGGACTTCCACATGGCTGACCATGGTTCGAGTCCCGGACCTGGTGGCTTA